AATTAATTTAATTAGTATCAAATTGTATTTTGATGATTAAATTTGATAATTTCAGATATTATAAATGTCATAATTTTCAGATTTTGCAAATTTTATAACCTAGAAGTTTTAATTATTGAAAATCATGATTTTAGGGTTTTTATGAACAATTGATTTAGGGCTTTTACAGTAATGATGTTATTAAATTTTGGTGATTATAACTAATGATTAGTTTAACTTAATTCCATATTATTTTGAACATGTAAATTCGTGTTTTAATTTTTAGATTTCTGTTCGTTACTATTAATCCCGTTTTAATCCCGGCCAGGTTCTGAACTCATCCGATTTTGATAAAAAAAAGTACAGTTTTCAATGTAGAAACAACGTTTTAAAAAAGAATCACTACCTTTGGTAGTATGCACCACCCTCTCGTGGCCAAATTCAGTCTTTAAGTATGATTTTTGGGCAGTTTTTTATTTTAACGAAGCTTTTTTATACTTAAAATATTATCCTTGAATTTGATTAATAAAATTAATTGTGTTTAAAGTTAATTAAGCATAAATATATGTTTTTATTGAAGTCTTATGTGCTAAAAATAGTTTCTAAGTACTACTTTTGATGTTTTATAAAGAAGGTTTAATCACCCATTAAAAAGGGAGATTATTAGGGGTTTTTAAATTATTTTAAGATTTTTATTAAACTTTAAACTTGCTGTAATTTCATGTATAAGAGTGTATTTTAAGGTTTTTATGAAGAAAATTTAAAAAAACTATATATAAACCTTTAATTTTAACTAAAGGGAAGGTTTTAAAGTGTTGTTTGAATTGGATTTTGAAGGTTTTAAAAGTAAGTTAGTATTGCTGTAAATTTGATTGATTGGGTATTGATTGAGATGTTATTATTTGGTTTAAGAGAGGAGTTTATTGAAGGTGATTTCTAGATAGTAAAGTGGCATACCAATTCGTTTATTCAAGATACGTACGAGTTACGAAACCTTGCTTTTAGGTGCATGTTTAAGGACGGATCGAGAACTTAGTATCATGTATAGGGATGACTGGGTTAAATTGTTTGGTTATACATTGTGAATTTTCGTATGACGTGCACTATTCTATATTGCAAGTATTGTTTATGCTCTAATTATGCAAGGTGCGCTTAGAGACAAAGGTATGTGATTGGTGTAATGATTAATTTATTATTCATTCATGATTATGTAAACAGGATGAGTAAAGGAAGAATTTAAGTCTTATATGACGAGGTTAAGTTTGTGGGGTGCCTTATGCATTCAAGGTGTTTATACACCGAGGTAGTTAAAGGATTAAATAATAAATGTTGTTTGTCACTAATAAATCAAGAATTGAAATTGGAAACTTGCCTTGCTTGATTGAATTGTTATTGGAATGTTTGTATTGTTATGCATATGAGTCATCACCAAGTCTAAATCTGTAAATCACGTAAAGTACAAGATGGATGAGCAATAAAACACTGGATTGGTGCACATCTGGAGTAATGACAATCAGGGGTTGGGGTACATGGGGTATTTGTCGTGCACTTTTCTCGAGGTCGTCTGATCTACGAGTCTCCTATTTCAAATATTTTTTTAAAACTAGGAGTTAGGTGAGATCTCATACTAACTACGGTCACGGAGTCGCGCCCGTGGTCGTTGGATGTTTATTGATGTTTCCGAAAGGAGGCATGGGGTTTTTTCTTTTATTGATGTTCCAAATGGAGCATGGGTTGGACAACCTTGTCTATTGCGTAATCCAATGAATAAAAATAATGATTTACCTATTATTAATTAATGGAGTCTTAGTAATATAAATAGTTGAGTCATGTGTCGAGTCTATAAACTAATGATGCGTGATGATTGACTATTAGTAGCATGTTAGGGATTTCTTTTATGTTTTGCAGCTGTATGTACTCAACTTTGTTGATTGTGTGCTTTATGTGTCTTTCTTTGGTCATGGCCTTCGCCTTTCAATGACCCTGTGACGATCCAATTTTTACACTTGTAATATTGGGGAGCAGATTAACCACAGGTTCTTACACATGGAGAGTTGGTTATTATTCGCAGTTTATTTCATTTCATAAGTTTGAATTTATTTAAACTCTGGTTTTATTTTTTTGCTACTTTTGTTAGGTTTTGAATAAGGGCCTTAATGGTTCCAACTTGTAACACTTAATTTGGTTTCATTCGCTGGTTTTGAAACTTATTTATATAACTGATTTAGTTTTTCCGCTGCTAATTTCTGATATAGCCTTAACGTTTGAATACGTGGCGGTAGTACGCTAGTAATTCTCTTGGATTTTGTTTAGGGTACTCACAGGTTTAAACAGAGAATTATTGTGGTGTTACAAAGCCCGGGTCAAACCAGTTCAAAAACAGTTCGATTTCAAGTAAATCTTTCGGATCAGGTAAGTTTTTGACACCCCTATATAAAACTTCAGTATAAACTTTTTTGTTTGAATGTTAAATACGGTTCTACAATCCTTTTTTGATAATGTACGATATTTAGGCATACAATATCATATGACTATTGTTCTCTAATAGTTTTTTTAAAATAAATTAATTTACAATGCATTTTTTTATGCAGCTAGCCACACTATCTTGTCGGACAAAGTAACCCCCATAAAACTTACCCAGTAACCCTTGTAATACTAAATGAGTAACCACTAACACTGACTAAGTAATCCTTATCTATAACCCTGATTGAGTAACCACTATAATACTGACTAAGTAACCCCTATAACACTAATGAAGTAACTCTTGTAATAGTTGGTGACATAGCTTGGTGATCTACGTATAAAAGTTTGTAATTAAATATATTATAAATGGATCTTAATTTAAGAACTTTTAAAAACGAATTTGATGATGGAAATAGAATTGAGTTATAGGATATTTATTAAAAGTTATAATTAATTTTGTATATATGAAATATTAGAATTCTATCAATAATAATACTTTATACAACGATTTTATCTAAAAAAATATATCCAAAAATCACTTACTTAGCATCATATATGTCACAATAATACGTATATATCTCTTACGTGGCACAATACTTGGCGAAAAACTGGAATGTCAAGTGTCGCTATCTCGTGGCCTGGTTGCGAGACCGGCTTTATATATTAGTGATATGATATGATATTAGATTGGTGAAACTATACCATAGGCTTTGATTTATTGATTTCTCTCTATTTTAATTTGTTCTAGTTTAATTCTTCTCCTTAGTTTAATTCCCTTAAAAATAATTTGGTTACTTAGCAGTTTAGATTATATTAATTATTTTAGGAATAGAAAGAGTTGGTTCCCTGTGGATTCGACCCTATTTCCTTATCTGCTTTAGGTAGAGGGTTTAGGAGATACAAGTTTATCCTTTCAACTTTTTTTTTTGAATAAACTCTATCCTTTCAACTAACACTCTAATAATTCCGGCTAAAATCTTCGGCATGTGGGTTTCACTTTTTACCTTTAGTTTTTGTAGAAAAAAAAAATTCACAAAGTCTTATATGTGGCTGGCCACACAGTGTGGTCATCCATCATGAGGGTTACTTCGTTAGTGTTATAGGGGTTACTTGTTCAATTTTACATGGGTTACTTCATCAATGTTATAGGGATTATTTAAGGGTTACTTGTTCAATATTAGCGGGGTTACTCGTTTAGTGTTAGGCCCTGTTCACTTTACCTTAAAAAAAAAATAATATTAAGTAAAAATAAGTTCAGTTCATTAAAAAGTTCAGTTTTCTTAAAGAAGAATTATAATAGAAAATCAGTAAAAATAATTTCAGTTCAGCAAAAATAATTTCAGTTCAGTAAAATCTAATATATATAAATAAAGGAGGCATTTTTGGAGAGCATTGAGAGCGTCACATAAGAAAAGGTATATTTTCGACCAATTAAAAATTAGATTTCTATTTTACTTTAGAATTAAATAAATCACTCGCCACAAAAAAAAGTGACGAATGAAATTTTAAAATTTTGCCACGTAGGTAAAAACGACGAAAGTAATTTATTAGGATTTTAATTATTTAAGAACACTAAATTTTATCATTTTTATTTGTTACAAAACTAAAAATTATCTTTAGATATTAGGATTTATATTATTTATAAAACTAAAATTATATTTTGATATTTAAAAAATATAAATTATCGTTTGATGTTAATGGTTTTATGTAAATATATGATGATATGATACTTTCATACAAAATTTTAAAACTTATAACGCAAGAAAAAAATTAAGAGATTACCAAAAAAATATTTATATACAAAATGTATATAAAAATTCGTGCATCGCACGCCACATAAGCAAAAGTAATATTTCGACCAATGAAAAATTAGATTTATATATTAATTTAGAATTTTAATTTTCAGTCGCCATTTAAAAAAAAATTAACATATGAAATTTGAGAATTGAAAACAAAAAATAGTAATATAAGATTTAAATTATGAAAAAAACAAAAATTATCTTTTACATTAGGATTTATATTATTTTAACAAATAATTAGAAATTAAAAAATATATTTTGATTTAATGATTTTATCTAAATATCCGATGAATGAGATAATATTTATTTCAATTTATAAATTTAAGTTCTATATACGTAAAATTTGAATAAGAATAATTTAAAACTTAACAAAATATTTACCTTAAATTAATGTTAAAATAATAGAATAGAAAATAAAAACAAAAAAATATTAAGATATTACAAAAAAATATACAAAATGAAATATTTAAAAACCGTGTATATCACGGGCTTACATCTAGTTAATTTAAATATAATTTTATTTCATTAAAAATAATTTCATTTTAGCAAAAATAAGGTGAAGTGAATGAGGCCAGGAGTAACCTTGTCTATTACAAGTGGTCACATGGTGTAATTTAAGTTTATTTGTGGCCAGCCGTATAGAAAACGCACTAAAAAAACATTTAAGAGGTAGTAATTGACAAAACTTTTTTTTTTTTAATAAAATGGAGCAAATAAAAATAAAATAGAGAGGGATTACCAATTTTTCCTTTGATACTCCGTAAATGACAGTACGAAAATTGTAACTATCTTTGAGAAATTTCCTTCGTGATTAAGGACAGCAACGCGGACAGTGTCCATCACCCTCAAAATCTCTCATTTTCTCTCTCTCCTCCTCAAGCTCTCAACAATGGCGACCTCAACCTCGACCTCATCAGCAGCAACAACAAATCTCATGCTAGCAATCTACGAGAAGAAGACCAACTCCCTCGACCTCTACCGTCCTCTCCGCAACTACATCACCTTCCATTACTCCGAGCGCGAAGCCCAAAACCTCGACGACGATCTCGAAACCGTCAAACAACTCCGCTCCGACATCGAAAAATCCACCGATTCACCCCCTGCTAAGCGCGATACTCTCCTCAAATACTTCAAATGCCTTTGTTTGATGGAAACTAGGTTTCCCATTTCGCCTGATAAAGATCACATTAATTCTCTGCAATTCACATGGTTTGATGCTTTCAAGACGAAGTACAAGTCGTCGCAGATTAATCTGCACCTCGAGAAGGCGGCGGTGCTGTTTAATTTGGGGGCTGTGTATAGTCAGATTGGGTTGTCTGTTGATCGGTCTACGGTGGAGGGGAGGAAGCAGGCGGTGCATAATTTCGTTACCGCGGCCGGGGTTTTCGCTTATTTGAGGGATAATGTGGCGGTGAAGGCGGCTGCTGGTGGGTCGGCGACTGTGGATGTTTCGGTTGAGTGTGCTGGGATGTTGGAGAGGTTGATGTTGGCTCAGGCTCAGGAATGTGTTTTTGAGACTAGTATTGCTAAAGGGAGTACTCCTGGGGCTTGTTCCAAGATCTCTCGTCAGGTAATTTGGGTTTTTAATCGAGTTTTCGACGAATTTTGTTATGTTTGAGATGGGATTTTGTAGTTTGATTAGGGTTTGATTGTGATTTGTGAGTTTCTGTAATTGTTGATCATTTTTCCTAGTTGAGTAAAGTTATGGGTCTGTTGTTCGAATTTGATGGAATTTATGAAACCAAAGAAGACAGTTTCCATTCTATTAAATATATTGCAATAAGTTTTGGAGAGGTTGAAGAATAGATTGACATTCAGAGTAATTCGACCTTTTCACCCTTTCTAAATGCAATAAATTAGGCTTTTGGAGTTCCTACTATTGTGATAATTGGCTGTGGAAATTAATCCTCATTGCATCTTTTTTCCCTGTCGAACACTGCTGCAGCATCGATGGAAGCTGTGCTGTCGTGGCAAATAAACTGAGAATGTATGCAGTTTCTTTTGAACAGTTGTGAATCATTGCTGATGGTTTTGATATGATAGTCTGTAATTCAAGTATATAGGCTCACGCTTACTGGCGTAGATCTGGTTTCATGCCAAGCATCCAATGATATTCAGCTTTATTTTGACTTGTAGAGAAGGATGGTAGCTTTTGTTTTTTTTATTTGTTTGCTGAAGCTTCCCTTTCCTAATTGAGCAGGATGTCTTTAAAAATTTGTTAACCGCAGGTTGGAATATACTATGAAGAAGCTTTAGCTGCACTCAGTGTTCCTCCTCTTAACTATCATTTTGACAAGACTTGGATAGCTCATGTGCAGCTCAAGGCATCTCTTTTTTTCGCTGAGGCTTGCTACAGGTACAGTTTAGAGCTCCATGAGAAAGAGGAGATTGCTGAAGAAATTGCTAGGTTGAAGTCTGGGATTAGTGCTCTATCTGATGTGAAGCGATCGACTAAAGGAGCTCCTGCCCAGCTCCTGGATGCTGTTAGTAAGCTTGAGGCAAGTCTTAATCGCAATCTGGAGAGGGCAATGAAAGAGAATGATAGAGTGTACCTGCAAAGGGTACCACAAGCCAGTTCATTGGCTCCTCTACCTGCATTTTCATTGGTAAAACCTGCGCCTTTGGATGAGATAGTGGATGCGAGCAAAGAGAAGATGTTTTTATCTCTCGTTCCAGACAGCAGTACAAAAGCTCTTTCCAAATACACTGAGATGGTTGATGATGTTATTAGAACCCAAGCTGAGAAACTGCAGCAGGGGAGCGAGCTAGCTAGAGTGAGGCTTAAAGAAATGGACTTACCTGAATCTCTTCTTGCTTTAGAAGGGAATGTGAGCCTTCCAGAAAATCTCAGAGAAGATGTGGAAGCAGTGCAAATTAGTGGTGGTCCAGCTGGACTAGATGGTGAGTTACAACAACTTAGAGATCTGAGAAGGGTCAATCATGAATTATTGGTACAGACAGAGGAACTTTTACAGAAAGAAGCTCAAGAGGATTCTCAGTTTAGAAGCCAGTTTGGCACACGGTGGACAAGGCCTCAATCCAGTACACTTACAAAGAACCTGCTGGATAGGCTGAACAGATTTGCTGCTAACTTAAAGCAAGCTGGAGAAAGTGATGCTAGAATTGAGCGTTCTGTCAAAGACCATTCTGCCCTCATGTCAATACTTGATCGCCAACCTGTATGTTCCTGTATATTGCTTAATAATGTCATTTTGGTTTATAGTATTCCCTCTTGTTTTTTGTTGTTGAAGCATAGAAAATAGGCATATTTGTGAGGACCATTTACCTCTTATCATGGCTGTCTTTAGAGAGGTTCTGTTACTGTATATCCTGAACTTGAAAAGTTTTTTTTTTTTTTTAATCTGATTGACAAGTGGATTGGATCATATGATTCTTATCTTCCCTTTTGAATATGAGGATTTTTTAGTATTGCAGGAGTTAGTTAAGTGTTCTGGGAAGTTAAGCTACTTAGGTTTGGTTTGCTTATTGCATTAGCCTTTCCATAATTCTGTTATGGGCTGTCAGCCTATTGCTTTGCTTATGAAAGATCTTTATTGCTGATAGGATGTATAAAGGAACAAGTGAGACTGCTGATATAATGTAAAACCTCATCATCTAGCATGGTTAGCAATCACTGGAAAATTGTTCATCTTCTTGGTTTTGCATTTTTCCTATAAAGCTTTTTTAAATTCTTGCATTTAAGTATGTACTGTCATAGTGTCTGCTACTCGCTACTCTATGCACTGGTGTAATGTTTGTATCTTACACATGTACGAAGTATCTCTTTGCAATACTAAAATGACTCTTTAGCACCTTTTGGGACTTAATTATTCAGATTTTTTTTATGCGTAGTCTTGAGTTGTGCACTCAATATTTTTTATTTTTATTTATTTATTGCGCTTTGTCCTGAGCCTTGTGGTGCATTCTGTTCGTAGAGTTGTTGGTTGACCTTTTGATTGATTGTGTTAATGAGTCTGTTTGTAAACCTCCTTCACCATGGGGAAAAATTGAGGGAAAAAGTTTTTAACTTGCATATTCCTGTTAATTATATATATTCGCCCGTTCACGGTTCACTTCTGTTCTTTGTCAGATTGAGGCTGCACTTCCTACTCTTGCAAAGCCAATTATGTCTTTGGATGCTAATGAGGATGCAGTTGTTGGAGCTTTGAAGCAAAGTTTGGTAATATTTTATTTTCTGTTCTTTGTTTTAACATAGTTGTTTTGTAATGCAAGTAAAACTTGTCAATTATTCTCATTGTCTCCTTTGTGTCTCTACCTTTAATCACTTGTTCCCAATTACGGCTATTATTTTTTTTGCTGATCCAAATAGAATGATTATATATTAGATTGGTCCATGGTTTGCCATCTGCTGCGGGGGTTTTGTTGCCTTCTACTGTAGGTTGGGACGACTGGGGCTCTCTCTTGATTCATCACACGTGGCAAGGCTACAGTTTTGCCTATCTTCTATCGGAAGTCTTTTATATGTAACTCTTATTTGATTGGTAGTACACTCATTAGCATACAGTGGTAATACCATTAGAATGCCTATCTTACTTAGTAAATCACTCCTTTAACAACTCAGATTCAAGTTTGGCTGTCTACACTCTAACTCTCAATGAAATGGCTTCAAAGACTTCTTCATAAAAGTTTGAGTCTGGTGTCCATGCTCCATGGTTTAATTATGATAGGCCTTAATTTAAATAAGTCTGCCTAAGAGATACGCCTAGGCGCAAGGCATTGTCAGGCGGGAGAGCTGGCACCTTAGCTTTGCGAGGTGCAAAGACCTACAAAATGTGCAAACCTATTCCCTTTTTTCTAGGCTGCTGCTTGAGCCTTTCACCTTATGTTGTTAGGCGTCAATAGCTAATTTGTAACACAATTATTTGTGTAAGAAAATACACCGCTTGACTTTGCAACGATTAGATTTTCTTCAATACTACATATCCCCCAATTCCATTTCAAGAACCCTAGTTATTGATCACATGGCCCTTTCAACTTTCCCAATGTCTTTTTTCTAGGCTTATAATAGAAAAATTAATTTAGTTTATAAATACAAATAAAGTGCGCCTCACCTACAAAAAGGTGCGCGCCTTCGACTCTGGCCTTGCGCCTAGGCTCCAAGGGCTTTGCGCTGTGGTGCGCTTTGCACCCTTTAAAACTAAGTGATAGGTTTGTTAAAAAGCAATTATGGCCATCAGATATTATCTCATTTCTATCATCAATGCTTTGAATTCTGGAATCATAAGAAAGTATGAACCATCATGTAAGTCGTAAGAATACAACAAGTTGTGCCACATGATTTCAGTTGCTAGCAATATGCAAGTACCTCCAAGCAGCAGCAATAGTAGGGGTATGCTCAACAACATATAGCATCATAGATGCCATCCATTTCACACTCAGATAATTAAGTTCATTTATTCTGAAGTCACGCTACTCTTTTTCCCTCTTTCATCACTGGAGCCACAAAATCTAATGAAATACCCTTGAGGCCTTGACCAGTAATTTGGATCCTAAAAATATATTAGCCCAAGGATCATGTGGCAAAGCAATCTCTGATATATCCCTCGTGCCCTCATTGCTAAGAATTAAAAGCCTATTTGCAGCGCGAGTGTTAGAAGGTTGAGGAATGTTACTAGTGATAACCTATTCTGCTTGATGTCCTTGCAATAACCCAGTCTGCTTGATGTACAATTTGTGAGCTTGATGATTAACGATGTCTATATCTTTAAAAGGAGATGATGCTTGTAGCTAATGTTATCTTCGAAGTAAAGTAAAAATGGTGAATTACATTTATACATATAAGTAAGACTAAATTTACGGAAGAGCTATGTGAATTGTGTTTCAATGGTTTATTTATGAAATAGTTTGGGAGGAAAGGAAGGTCATTAGGGGATGATGAAAAAACCAGCTTTATAACATTAGGGGATCTTTATGCATTACACCATGGAGGCATGGTACCAAGACCTACCCTATACTTCTTCCATAATAATCATCCTAATCCCATCCTTCCACCCCCACCATGGTTTGCAACTAGTCTTCCTTTCTTATGCACACCCCCACTTCTTTCTCTCCATAATTTTCCCATCCCCATCATCCAACCCAGAAACTTGCCCCACCTCTTATCGCCTTTCGATATCCCCTTGATAACAAGACAACCAAATGCGAACAAGATCACCCACTCACTCTTATAAATCAACAATAATAACAAAAAAAAAGAAGAATTAAATGACTAACACCTGACAACAGGAAGTGGTTATAGTTGAATGTGAAACTACCATAAATCCAAAGACTATTACTAGAATATCTGCCATTTCCAAAATTGTTAATGAAAAGAGAAATGTGGATCTGAGTGATTGCGATCTAGTGAAATACCAATTTCAATCAAAATTTGATCAGGCTGCAATCACCAAAAAATTTCGCTTAAATGTGATGCCATGTTGGTTAAAAACGGCTGTTTGAGATTTCTGATCTGGAATTTTCAGTCTGTTTCAATTACCATAGACTTGAATTTAGTCCTTCCTGTTCACTCTAGGAATCTGGTAGTGCAATGCTGGGATATTGGGGCTTGAAAGAGAGAAGGTAATCTGAGAAGGTATTCGTGAGTGTTGTTAGCAGTATTACCTTATCTGCGGTACAGTTTAATACATGGAACACAATTCACTACCCAATTATGTTAAGTTTGAGAAAAATTGTTCCGTCATGCCAGTATGTGTGTTTCAATATGCATGTGTTCTCAATAGACAATTCTCTGGGGAATCCAGAGTATTAGGTATACTGGTTGTTATTCAATGGCGGTCGATACACGTACAAAGATGAGGAAGGTTGGAGGATAGTTGTGGAGGCATAGAGGCTATGCTGGAGGGAAGGGGAAGGGGAAAGGGAGAGGGTCTCTGGTTGCGAGAAATAGGGAGGGGGAAAAAAGAAAGAAGGTTTCCCTTTTCTTTACCCTTCTTTTCTATAAATCACAACTCAAACACTGTACAAGGAATTTATTATGTTCCTCGTGTTAGCCACAAAATAATTGTGGCTTTAGCTTTCTTGATTTTTTTTTTCCCTTTCCCGTACATAAATAAAATGATAATTTATTATTGTAGACTGTGGAGGCGATGATTTCCATGAGGACAAGAGATAAATAAAATGCATGAATTATTAATATCCTTTTATCCGTGTTTCTACTTTCTGCTAAGAAATTTTAAATTTCTCTCCCTGTCTTTTACTTCTATCTATATTTCTCTGATCTCAAGTGTAAAGGCCTATTTGCTATCAAGGAAGTAAGTTTGAATGATCAGCATTGTAAATTGTATACTGTATGTTGTTTCAATCTGATATTTCTTACATCAAATGCTTATATTAGTTCAAACTAAATTCAAATTTGAATTTGATTTTGTGCAGAGGCAAACAACTAGTTTTCTTGTTCATTATCATTATACCTTACCTTCATGTTTGTGCAGAGGCAACTGGAGACTCTCGGAGCTGAACGGGCAGGCCTTGAAGATATGCTTAAAGAAATGAAAAGAAAGGTGTGCATGATTGTGTCAGGCTTTTAAATCTTTAATGTTGGCATTTCCCCCTAGTGGCTCCAATGTGAATAATTTTTAACAGAATTGATTTTGATGATTTTTTTTGTGAGGTTCTTGGGCTACGAAACATAATCCTCTTTTTCCTCTTCTTGGATATATTCATTTGTTGCCTTTTCTTTTTTCAGTTTTTCTTGTGAAACTTTTTGAGGATTAAAATTTTGTTTATGCTTAATGATTCAAATTGTTATAGTCATATATATTGTTTATAATAATGATTCCGATTAGAAATAGAATAGCGGCTCCTACTAACTAGGCGTCAACCACCCTCTGAACGAATTATATGTCTGACTAATAATTGTTAGCTGCCTTTATTCTTTTTGAAACATTACCCTTTGTTACTTGGTGGAGGGATTCCAAAGAGTATGGATCACGTGTTTATTGAAAATAAGGGTAAAATATCAGTAGAGTTCCCTTTTGGGTCATCGTAGCAGGGGCTCATGTAGCATGACACGTCTTATGTTATGTAGTGTTCTGTTGTCATATTTTACTGCCTACTTTGGTTGACATACATGCCATTTGTTTCAGGATGACATACTGCCAAAGCTGATGACATCCACTGGATCTTATGAGGATCTTTTTAAGAAGGAAATTGCAAAATATGATCACATCTGCGAAGAGATTTCTAGAAATATCCAGGCACAAGGGCAGCTATTGATGCAAATCCAGGTCATCAATCTTTTTGTTATAATATTTTACTTAATTTTAGTTTGTTATTTTCTATAGTAAATTTCTGGCAACAAGTAATAATTTCTAAAGTCTCTTCAGCAAACTTCTCGAAACACTTGCAATGGAGCACTATTGATTATATGTACTTCCTCCGTTTCATATTAGCTAACACATTTGATTTAGGCACGTTTTCCCACGCATACTTTTAAATGTAAATATTTTCAATTACATATTAGCAAAAGTTAAAAATGTGATATATTGAAAATAGTCATTAAGATGAATCTAACAAAGCCCCCACTTGATTGTCTTTTCTTAACACTAAATCATAAAACAAAGTCAAAGTAAGTTATGTAAATAGTGTATAAAGTCAAAACGTGTCAACTAAAAGGAAACAAAGGAATTAGTAAATTTTGGTTTGTGCTTTAATGGGTACTCTGTGGTGATCTGGCTGGAAAGGAAGATTTAAAATATCTGCTGTAGGCTTATTGTTTGGCTTTCCTTTGGGACGTCGTCTCGTATCTCAAGAGCTTTTCATAGGCATTCGGTGTGGCTGTCGTGGTTATTCAGGAATCATTGATTTCAATTTATAATGTTCATGAATAAAAAAAATTGTCTTTGATAATCTGGACTTCTATATTTCAAATTTCTTAATAGGGATCAGATCAAGAAAGTGTCAACTCTTTGTGGCACTGCTTTTGCAATGATTAATCTGCAATTTGTTAACTGTTACTGTAATCACTTATGTGACCTGACTGCTTATTGTTACCCGTAAGCTACAACTCATTAGGATAATTGGTTCTTTTCTTGTTATTTTTAATCTTCGAAGCGTCTATCTTTATACCATATCATTGTGTGTTTCTGTAACAGGAAAAATTATGTGCATCTATATCACTTATAACTGTTCTCTAGAACACTACTGTCAAAAATGTTCATCCTAACGAGTTATGACTTGCCGTTTGGTAATGTAGTTGAAACATATGTATTGCGTTTCTAGAAAGTGATTTTTAGGTGTCTTATTTCTTTACCTTGTCATCAGGCAATTTCTAGGCTTTTCAGGATTTGTACTATAATTGTATTGTGTGATTTGCTCCCTTATTGCTTGGCTTTCTTGTTTCAGGCACAGAATGATCAGTTTTCTGCTATCTTTAATCTTGAAGACTTCAAGGGTAAATTTATTTTTAACAGAGTTTGCATTTATGTTTGTTGTTCAAGTTCTTAACATTGCTTAATCATATCTGAAATCTCTATCAAGAAATTATCATGTCTCCCCTCTTCTTCTTCTTTTTATTTTTTATTTTTTATTTTTTTTAATATATATATATATATATATATATATATTTTTTTTTTTTTTCTTTCTCAATTAAGTTAACAAAGACTAGATCTATGTATATTTATTGTATTTGTTGCCTAATTTCTTCTAACAATATCAGAGCTTAATGCAATAAATAATGGGAGTAGTTTTTGTCTAACTATAAGTTAAAATCCGAGTACAGTGATGCATAGTTATATTTAGTGTCAATAGTCAGACTATTTGATTCTATCTGGACCATATACATTCCATCATTTTGTAATAGACTAGCTTAAGGAGGGGTAATATGGGTATTCTAGTACTAGGTTAGTAGTCTTTAGTTTTAGTATAAATAGAAAGAAAGGGGAAAAAAAAGATAGGCAGAATTTTGTATTGGAAAACCTAGAGAGTTATGGCCTCAAGCTATTTTGAGAGTGATAGTCTAAAGCTATTAACCCTATCATTTTGTAACCCTTCCACCATTATCAATCAATTTTATAGCTTCCATCTTTATTAATTTGCTAGTTAAAATCAGAAGTTCCAAGTCCAAAAACCAGCCTATTACAACTTGAAATCTTGCATTGCTGTTATATTGATTTTGCTGTGTGACTGATCTGAATCTATCACAAATTTACTGTACATTCTTTTATCTTCATGGAGATAATAGTTTATATATGTATGCAACTGCAAGTTTAAGGAAGTAGTTGCTACCCTGCCTTTGATATTCTCTTTTGGTCCACACGAAGCATTTAACATTTTTGTGAAGGTGCTGACTTTTGTACTCAACTTTAGTAATACCTATGCTATATCAATTTGCTGATTTGTTATTGTAATTTTCATTTGTTTTGGACCTGTCATTTAACCTTTTCATATGATGCCAAAGACTAGAGATTAAGGAGAAGGATTTTATTGGTCTCGAATTGTTGTTTTGCTATAGAGTTGTAGGGTTGGTTGCATTTGGGTCGTAGTTGAAATCTGCTTGCATTTTCATCTACCACTTGTTGGCGACGTTAAAGTAGTTTGTCTGTGTAGAGATGCAATATTAATTGTGGTTCTTTCGATGGGATTCTAGCTGCTCTTTTATTTTCTGTATTCTGAAACTGGTGAGCTTGTTCAGTCATCTGGCAGGCAACTTATCTACTGGATACAAATTATATCAATGGGAATTCTAGGATTTTCGTGCTGAACAAGCCCAATGGTCTCATCACAAATTTATCATCCCTGATGCATACATCATCCTAATCATATAGAAATTTGAGTTTAACAAGCTTTCCTTTGTCTTAGGATGGAATCTTTTTTTCTCAATTATAAGGTGGAGCTGTCCTTGTTTTTATCTCCCAGATCACCATCTTAGCCTTAGCTTGCATTCGTAATTTTTTTTTTTTTTTTTTTTTTTTTTTTCAGTTTCACTGAACTTCAAGTACAAGTACAGGCTGTACAAATACAAGCTTGCAAAACCTTTATTTTCTGCTGCTATTTTTTTATTTTCATCAATTCATTTTGTCCCTTTAGATTCTCTAGTCAAGGCTTTATATTTATTATTTTTTAATTGGTTTAATACATATTTTTTTTCCAAAAGCAGAGGGAAGTTCATATACAGCCTTTGAAGTTGGGTCAAAGTGTTGTAAGAGTTTGGCTTCAGTCTTAATGCCCCCTTTTCTATCCTCCAAAAAGAACCCTTACTCTCTTGCCAAAAAGGACAAAGAATGAAGTCCTGGATGCTATATTTTCATGAGATGATATTATTTTCCCATAAGCCATGGTCCTATTTGTTTAAATATTTCAAATTTATGCCTGATGGGAAATTACTTGGAAACATGCGAGGCTGGACATCAAGATTCATTCAGATCTTTCCTTCCCTACTGTTTAAGCTGCATTCTAAAGTACAACCGCTAATAATTTGCTTGTTTTTCAGATGTCTTTGGCTGTGGAAGGTTTGAATTTGTATTGGGAAAGAAAATCTGCTTAGAAGAGTGGATAAAATCTGACATAATTTTCTCAATTTACTACTCTAGGTTTTATTTGTCATGACGCTCGTCAATGACTATTAATGAGAAACTATTTCTTCTCTAATTAACTTGTAATGAAAAGTATAAAAAAATCACCATTTATCATGGCATTTTTCGAGTAAGTGATCCAAGGATGAGATATCTTTCATTCTTTCTTTTAGGTATGTAGGAGTTTGACTCAAAAAAAAAAAGGTATGTAGGAGTTGCAATTATTATTCTATAATGTGTGCTAACCAAGTACAGATTCCATGCTAAAAAGCAATATCCTAGAAAGATATGAGGCAGGATAGTTATACTCGTTTAATTTTTTACCATGTGATCGGCTTCGAGTAATAATAAACTAACATTGGTAATAGCGCCTTGAGTCAATAATGTAAGTTCGCTTGAGAAATGGAGAGGGAAGATTCTAGAAAAGGCTTGGACTGGATTTAGGAGACTTCATGCGATTCATCTGTGTTTAGAGTCTCAAAGGACAAAGGGAAAGCATGAAGTCTCTTGACTTCATACCTTTTCTTTTCATTTTCTTGGTTTTGTTCTTTAAACCTATATATACTTGTTTCCTTTTCTTAAGAGTCTGCTGGGGGGACGGGTGAGACAATGCATTGTTTTTTTTATTCTTTATTCCTCCCAACTTTAAGTGGCAGGCTTTTACAGCTCCTTTAATTTTGTGGTTTTGGTATCATAATACATCAATACATGCATCATGCCGTTACTTTCCACCATCCTTTTTCTAATAGTTTATGTTACGATATTACAGCTTCTCGTGAGAAGTGCTTTAAGCAGATTGAAGCTGCCATAGCAAAGTACCGAGAAATCAAGGATAACATAAATGAGGGACTCAAGTTCTATGTAACGCTTCAGGTCTGTCTATCTGGATATCTTCAATATTACTTCAAATCTCGAGATTATATCAATTTGCAAAGCAACTTCTTTCTGTACTGGTTATTCTGTGACCAATCTGACCATAATGATTAATAATTTCCAATAGACTATTTGTTACTGCTAAATCAGTTGTGATTGATGTAGTAATTATGTGGTGTTTCCCTGAAACAGGATGCAATTACGAATGTAAAGCAACAGTGTAGTGATTTTGTGATGACCAGAAATATCCAGTGCCGTGAAATGATAGAAGATGTGCAGAGACAAATATCAGGCCTCAGCTTCCAGGATAGGAATTCGGGTAATCAAAGCTACCCGTCAGTAGGCCAAGCCCATCAGCCTCCAAGAACAATGTCTCCACAGCAAACAGAAAATGTAGCTCCTAGGGCACAGCCACCCCCCTCCTATTATCACCCGTCTCCGCAACAAACAGATGCTGGAAATGTTTCTCAAGCTTCTAGACCTCAAGCACCTTCTCCTTATTATCAGCCATCACAGAGTTCCTCAATGCCTGGATATGCTCCTCCTTATGGTTCCACACAAGGCCCCTCTCAGCAACCTCATCCACCTCCGTACCATGCTCCACCTTCAAGTGGCTCTCCATACCCACCTCAACAAGGGCAACAACCACATCAGCAGCCTCCGACCAGTTATGAATACGGGCAGCCTGCTTATCCAGGATGGCGAGGTCCATATTATAATGCACATGGCCAACAGCCATCATCTTACCCTCGACCACCATACACTGCTCCAAGTCCCTATCCTCCTCATCAAAGTGGATACTACAGGCCACAATGATGTCTGCATTGTGATGCCATGGTTTTTCTTTTGTTTTTACTGTTTTCGTCCATGTCAGGGACTGCCATATGTCAATATTATATTGTAATCACTTATTGAAGAATCCCACTTAATGTATGCCTTGTATTTGAGAACTTGCCCCTTTATGTATAGGCTCTTAATTCTTTCCAGGGTGTGCCAAGTGCTAATAATCATTTGTAAAATTTATAGCATCATCTTTGATGGTAGATATTTTGTTTGAAGGCAGTGTATAATACAACAAAGTTTTGATTCAATGATTTTTTTTTTTTTTTTTTACCTCAAAAATTTTTAGCTTATGCACATTTGCCTATTATAGAAGAGTACACCTACAAGAAGTCTGAAATGGGTAACACTTAAATTGAATTAAATATTTGCTCCATGATCATGTCAAAATGTTAGTGCTTATTTTTATATTGCTCATTTAAAATGAAAAAAGAGCATTAAAAATTCTTACTTATTTAGTGTTCGGAAATGAAATGAGCAAGAGAGAATTATTTGCAATTAGGGATTATATGTGTTCGCTTGTTCTGAAGACATACTAATCAATGGTCCTGCCGATGTCGTGAGTGATTTTATATGTAACTGGCCTTTAATCTGTGCAATGTACGGATTGCAAGAGGAAAACGCTGAAAATAGAATATGTTAAAAAAAAAAATGGAACATAGAGAGTACAATAATGATAAATGTAGCCCTTATGATTGCAATAAAGCATCTATTTTTTTTTTGTATCGTAAGTTGATATTAGTTTTAGGAGTGCATGACAAAAACATGAGTCGACTTTTGTAGTTAATGTTTGATACATGTGCACGATATTAAAGTACTACCTCCATATCGTAATAATTGCAACACTTTAATTTTTACACTATTCACATGCTTACTTTGACTATGTTTTTTACTACAATTCCTAAAAAAAAAATGTTTTTTTTACTACAAATAATATATATATATATATATATATATATATATAAATATATATTTCCATGTCATTTATTTTAGGATTAGTTTGTTTCCAAGGCGAAGAGTTTGGAGAAATCTGGCATGGCTAAGACATGTGGTGAAGTTACTGTTGTTTTCAAGTCTGCAAAAGCTGTTTCTGCCTCTTTATTCCACAAGAAACCGTCTTTTCTAAGCAGTAAGGTTAATGGCTTGCAAATCTTGCCATAATCTCTAATAAATCTTCTGTAATATCATATTAACCCTAAGAACCCTCTTAGTTGCTTGAGAGTTTTAGGTCTAGGCCAATTGAGCATTGCTGCAACCTTGTCAGGATCAGTTGCCACCCCTTTAAAAGAGATTATGTGACCCAAGTAACTTATCTCAGTCAAGCCAAAACAACATTTCTTTAGGTTTGCATGCAAATGGTTTATGTGCATCAACCCCAATGTTTGTTGTATATTAAACAAATGATCTTTCCAAGTAGGGCTATAGACTAGAATGTCATCAAAGAATACCAAGACACATTTCCTTAAGAGAGGCTTAAAGACATAGTTCATAAGAGCTTACAAAGTTGAGGGAGCAATGGTGAGCCCAAATGGCGTCACCAACTATTCAAAATGGCCAAAGTGTGTTTTGAAAGCTGTTTTTGTGAATGTCAATAGGTTGCATTCTAATCTGGTGATAACCAGATTTCAAATCAATTTTTGAAAAAAAAATTAAGTGTCTTGCAGCTAATCTAAGAGCTCTTCAATAAGAGGGATAGGGAATCTGTCTTTAATGGTGGCTTTGTTTAAGTTCCTGTAATCAACACACATTCTCCAACTCCCATCCTTCTTCTTGACCAACACTATAGGAGCAACAAATGGGTTGTTGCTAGGTCATATCACTCCCTAATCTAGGAGTTCCTATACCATCTCCTACATGACATTCTTCTGTAAAGCTGGGTATCTATATGCCCTCAAGTTGATTGGATCAGTTCCTTCTTTTAAGGGAATAACATGATCAAATCCATTGCTTGCTGGTGGAAGATCTGAGCTGAGATAGGTTGAAAGGCATCTGCAAATTGATTTAAGAGAGTTAGTAGGGTAGGATCAGAGTTTACTGCCTCCTTTGAGCTGACATGGGTGAATGAGACACATCTACAAGGATGATTTGCATCATTGAAAGAGATCCTTCCTGAGTCAACAACTTTTGGAGAGCCTTGGGTTGAACTTACTTCCATTTCTTAGGGGTTTCCCCCTTAATTTAATTTTGTTTCTCTAGTGCTGGAATTCCATAGTTAAGTTGCTGAAATCCCACAGAACTGGACACAGCTCCGAAATTCCATAGTTAAGTTGCTGAAATCCCACAGAACTGGATCCAGCTGAATGAACCATTAAAATCCTAAGACAAGATAACTCCCACTCAATGATAGGAGAAATACATTAGCTGTAAAGTCTGCACCTTGCATTTTCCAACTGATCCCCTTGATGATTTGACTACATTACATTTGGTTACCATCGGCTACCTTTACCCAAAGTGGAGGGTTAGCTTCAACCGTGCAATCAAGTTTTAGAGCCTTGTCAAGGTCTATGAAATTGTGAGTACTGCCACTATCAAGCAAAAGTTGTAGCTTTTTCTTGCCATGGTGGCCTGCAATTCTCATGGTTTGAAAAGTAGCCATGCCATCCATGGCTTGCATAGAGATATGTGCACACTCCAGTTCCTCTACTACTAGCTCTTCCTTGTCATCTTCATCATCCTCCAGCTCCTATACCTCAATATGGTATAACTGAGGCTTTTTGCCCTCACATTTGTGTCATGCCTCATATTTTTCATCACACCAAAAACATTGGTTCTTTGCGCTTTTTTCACTAAAGTCATCTTGGGGTGAGGGTTCTACTGTTTGTATTAGGGTAGGGTGTTGGGTTAGTGTTTATGGCTCTCTGGGTTTGAAGAGGTTTAGGTGTGAGGGGTTGGTTGTTGAATCTGGTGCCTAGCTGGAGGATTGGGTAGGAGTGGTGGTTGTTTGGTAGTTGGTTTAGGTTTTCTTGCCTCACTAGCAGCTTCTTGTAGCTTAGCTAGGGCAAAGAGCCTGTTGTAAGGTGGTGGGTGTTAACATTCTCACTGTTAACTGTATGTCCTCCTATAAACCGACAAGGTAACAACTGAGTAAATACGGCTCAGACAAGTCTAATAACCTACTGGCCAGAGCATCAGATGCATCATGGTATTCCTGTACACTACCAGACTGCTTAAGAGATTTGAGATCTGTCATAGGGCCATCATATAGATCTCCAAATCTAGCAGTAATATCCTTAATGTCGTCATCCCACTTGGGAAAAACATGGTTTTTCCTCGAGCTATATGTTTGATGCCATAGTAAGGCTTTATCCTCAAGATGGATAGCAGCCAGCTTAACTCCATTAGGATCATCAACTTTATCTAGATAAAAAAATGGTTGCATTTGTAGATCCAAGATTTAAGGTCAGTGCCATTAAACTTTGGGAAATCTACCTTAGTTAAACGAGCAGAATAGTAAGTGTCTAGGGGGAGGTTTAGATTCTTTATCATTGGTTGTGAAGGTGCTAGTGTTGGGTTGAGTAAAATTATTAGAAACAAGTTTAGTGATTTGCATAGACAAACACAAAAGCAGATCATTAAGCTCAGAAAATTGATTTATAGTTTATATCAATATTCATACTATAATTTCTACAACCAGCATCCAGTTTTTTACCTTGTTCTTGCAGCATAAACCTCAAGGAATTCTCCAGCTTCTTCACATCAGAAGCTCCTAGCTGGCAGAGTCTGAAGATGATCTGGTAATAGGCATCGTGGGAATAGGCCAAGGAAGAAGGTATAGCTCTGATACCAGTGATAGCAATATGACGATTTGCCAAGTCAAATTCCAGGAATTGGAATGGAGACTTGTTATGATCAACCCAGAAAACCAACCAAATAAGAAAGAAGGGCATTTTTATTGGACTTAATCACTAATAAGCAACTGTAACAATAAGTGAGAGGTAGAGAGAATAAGGATTTTGAGAGAAGGGAATTTTCAATAATCATAAGCATGAGCTGCCATTACACTGCTATTGGCTTAAATAGCCTTGATTAGCTAATACAAGGATCAGGATTAAAAACAGGACAAAAATAAGTAAAGGACAGATACAAATAATTAGTGCTGCCAAATTTCAAACCGAAACCGTTTAATTGCCCGAAACAAACTGACCTAAATGAGTATCGTACCGATTAAAAACCCTTTTTTTGGAAACCGAAAACCGACTCGAACCGTATGTGAATGAACCCAAAACCGAATCGATCCGAATAACGTTACACCGTATAAGAACCGAACCCGTTAATGAACCGAACCAGTTCTAAACCAAACTGAAATCAAACCGAACTGAAAAGAACCGAACTGTTTCTAACCCAAAACCATTTGAACCGGGATAAAAAACGTTTACACCGAACCGTTAACAACCCGCAACCCGTTTACACCGAACTGTATATAAACCGAACCAATTATAAACCAAACTGCTTGCAAATTGAATCGTTTATGAACCAGACCGCTTATAAACGAATCGACTACAAACTAATTACTATAAAGAGAATATTAAAATCAAGTTAAAGGGTGTTTTAGATAAAATTTAATTATCATAGTACAAAAATTCTTCCCGCCAAATTAATATTTATTGAAAATTTATTATCATAGTATAAAATATCTTCCTGCCAAATTATTATCATAGTATAAAATATATATTCCTGGCACTAAAAATCCTCATGCCATAAACTGAACCAAAAATGAACCGAATAAGTTATAAACTGAACCGAAAAAGAACCGAACCAATTATAAACTGAACCGAAAAAGAACCGAAGTAGTTATAAACTGAACTGAAAAAGAACCGAACTGTTTCTAACCCGAAACCGTTTCCAACCCGAAACTGTTTGAACCGGGATAAAAACCGTTTACACCGAACCGTTAACAAACTACAACCCATCTACACTGAACCGTTTACTACCCGGACTGTTTACAACCCGAACCGAATTAAAACCGCTCAAGAATAAACCGAAACCGAATCGAACCGATAACTATTTAAACCGAACTGAAACCAACCCGCGAGATACTTAAATAAACCGATTTCAAACCGACCCAATTTAATACCGAACCTATTTCAAACCGAACCGAACCCAAACTATCAAACCGTTTTAACAGTGCTACAAATAATAGCTTTTTAATTTGCAGCTGCCATATTCTCTTCCCTTGTACTATTATTCCCTTCCTTAGCTGTATCATTTGACAGGCTTGAATTCTCTTCCAGTACCTTCTCTGACTCAGCATTCTCTCCTTCCATCTTTTCTGA